TCAATGGGTTTAGCCAACATGAATGACTGAGTTTCCTTTGGAGGAGTGCGAATGAAGAGAGCTGGAGTACTTTCGCAGTCACGGGGAGAGAATGTTATACTAGATAAAAAATTAGAGGCAGAGTAATACCTTTAACGTCCTCAGTACTTTGTATATTTTCAGCTGGACTATAGCAAACAAAAGCTGTGCTTGAAAATAACAGGTTAACTTCAATGTAAATTCAATGCCGATCTTTAAATACGAATGATGAAGTTTGTTATAAATTGTTATTCCCCAAAGACTGATTTAATTGAAGTAACATTGCATTTGTGTGCTAAAGCACTGATGTTTTGCAAAATGAATTTAGGATTAGAAAAGTCATTTGAAAAGCTGGAGTATTTTCCACCATCATGGATTTTTTCATACTAGGGTACAAGAAAACAAATTACAGGTGAGTTCTCCCCCTATGGTTAGAAGTTATCTTCTCAACATGCATGTTTAGATGAATATTTTGGACTTTTTGGAATAAATATTATGGAAGTTTTCATGATGAAGTGCATACAATTGTCTACTGTTATATTAACTGGTTGTTTCTGATGTTTAAACTGCAACCCAATGTTTTCTCTGTAGAATACTCCTGAAAAATGAGAGAGATGCAATGCAAATAGTAAACAACACCAACTTGCAATTTTATTTTATTTTGTTTATCATCTGACTACAGTCTGTCGTTTTCTCTAGACAACAAGCTCCTGAGGTTAAGGACTTTATGCATATTTTGTGTAGTTCACTATCACATACCCAGGAGCACTTGGCATACAGTGCATACTCTTTTTCCTATTTGTCAAACACAAGACCTGAATCAAGCTTTATTGAATGTGTGTCCGTAAAGTTCAAAAACAAGCTCACCCTTCTTGACAAAAAGGGTACATTGTGCATTGAGTTATAATTGCTTCTAAATTAACACTGAGTGGCTCGGTGCCTGTGGCTCAAGCGGCTAAGGCGCCAGTCACATACACCAGAGGTGGCAGGTTCGAATCCAGCCCGGGCTGCCAAACAACAGTGACAGCTGCAACCAAAAAATAGCTGGGTGTTGTGGCAGATGCCTGTAGTCCCAACTACTTGGGAGGCTGAGGCAAGAGAATCGCTTAAGCCCAGGAGTTGGAGGTTGCTGTGAGCCATCATGCCACACCACTCTACCCAGGGCAACAGCTAGAGGCTCTGTCTCAAAAAAAAAAAAAAAATTACACTGAGTTCCTTCTGTGAATTCTTGATTTGATTTCATGCTTATTCCATGGTTAAAGTTTAGGGACTAAATCAAGATATATATTTCAAGTAAAAAAAAACCCTACATTTTTAAAAGTAGTTGTGATACACTTTGTTAAGACAAGCAATATCTCTAATTACAATTCTTAGGTGGTCTCTTTCTTGGCCTAAAGTTTTCACTTAAAATTGTCACTACACGTTTGACAACAAGTTTGCATGTTTGTTGTCATGTTTGTTGTGTCCATACTTTAGGTTTTTCCCAAGTCAAATACAATACACAATTTGTTACAGGAAACAAAGTTCTTTGGGGAGGTTGTAATAGCTCTAAATGCCGATTGGCAACATAATTGGCAAGCGATGGTAGATCTAGCTCTGGTTAGGAGGTTTTAGAAATTTAATTAGCTGCACTAAGAAAGTAGTAAAATGCAGACTCATTAGTACCATGTCAACATTATCTTAGTTGGGCTGCTATAAGAAATTAACCACACACTAGGTGGCTTCAACAACAAACATTTACTTCTCACAGTTCTGGAGGACACGAAGTCCAATATCAAGGCTGATTTGGTATCTGGTGAGGGCTCACTTCCTGGTTTGGAGATAACTGTCTTCTTTGTATCCTTCTGTGTTGGAGAACAACTGGAGAGCCAGCTTCGGAGAACAACTGGAGAGCCAGCTTCGGAGAACAACTGGAGAGCCAGCTTCGTCTTTCTTATGAGGGAACTAATACCATTCATGAAGGCTGTACTCCCATGACCTCATTACCTCCCAAAGGCCTCACCTCTTAATCCCACCACAGTGGGGGTTAGAATTTCAGCATGAATTTTGAAAGGACACATTCAGTCTATAGCAAAAAGACTATGTAATAAAGATGCTTTTTGTGTATATAAAGTGTAGTTACAATCAAAAACCACAAAGATTGTTTTGTATACACACATATAAGATCTGTTTTTAAGGCTCAGGGCCTGTAGCTCAAGCAGCTAAGGTGCCAGCCACATGCACTGGAGCTGGTAGGTTCGAATCTAGCCCGGGCCCACCAAATAGTGACAACTACAACCAAAAAATAGCCGGGTGTTGTGGCAGATTGCTGTAATCCCAGCTACTTGGGGGGCTGAGGCAAGAGAATGGCTTAAGCCCAAGAGTTTGAGATTGCTGTGAGGTGTGACACCACAGCACTCTACCCAGGGCAACATCTTGAGGCTCTCTCTAAAAAAAGAAAAAAAATTCTGTTTTCAATTGGCTGTTTGATGTTAGGTAATATAATCTCTTGACTTGGAATTACCTTTGGCATAGGGAAAGTCTAAAATATTACGGAGATACTTGCCTTTAATATTTTATGAGTCCCTCTCTAAAGAAAGAAACTTTCTCTGTTTTATTACAGAGATTTGTGAGAGGAATTGTGAAGACTTAACAAGGATTTTAATTGATCAAATGTAATCTCAAAAAGAATTATAATTGTTAATTATTTAATTTAACCAGTTTAAACTATTCTCATATATATATCTTTAATTAAAGATTATAGAATCTCTTTTTAATCTGTAATATGAATTTTATGGTTGCTGTTACTGTTTGGGGACTGCCTTAGATTACATGTGATTTCTTGGTGGTAGTTGTTTGGCAGGCCCCTGGCCAGATTCAAACCCATCAGCTCTGGTGTACGTGGCTGGCTCCTTGAGCTACAGGCACCACCCAAATTCTTGGGGTTGATTTCTTCAGTAAAATACTGGATAGTATTGGCTGAAAACTGAAAAAATTTAAGAGGTTGCCAAATCTTACTAAAATATAATTTATTTTTGTTACAGTTGAATTGGTTCTTTTTTAATAGAAAAACATTAAACCTTTGATAATATGCCTTTATTTTTCTCTGGAAAACAAAATTGATCAGGTATTGGAGGACTTTATTCCTTTTCATTGCCAGACTTCTCTGGCTTATAACTTAGAAAGCCTGTAGAAAGCTACTGTATTTTGACTAAAGTCCCTGAATGGTAAGAGATGATGAATTGATACTAATTTAATTGAGAGAAATGAATCATCTAGTTTTTCTTCATCTTAGGTTTTTTTAAACTTATTTTTGACTATTTAATGGGAGAAAAACAGAATTACAGGCCCAGCCTCCAGCCCTAATACTTCTCCCTTCAGGCGAGCTCCCACCCCCATGTTTTTATTTATTTTTACATGTCATCCTTGTGTACAGGTCATGCTAATCTTCTCTGTATCGTTTCAATGTTAGTACATGTGCTGCCAAAGGGAGTACTTTTTATTATTTTTAAATAGTCACAGATCAATAGGAATTGCAAAAAAAAGTATACGAGGACCTACCCTTTACCTCCTCCAATGGTATCATCTTGTATAAATATAGTAGCCTATCAAAACAAGAAAATTAGGCTCAGGGGCTAGGGTGCCAGCCACATACACTGGAGCTGGTAAGTTCGAACCTGGCCCAGCCCTGCCAAACAACAATGACAAGTCCAGCCAAAAAATAGCTGGGTGTTGTAGTGGGAGCCTGCAGTCCCCAGCTACGGGGGAGGCTGGGGCAAGAGAACCTCTTAAGCCCAAGAGCTAGAGGTTGCTGTAAGCTGTGACACCACAG